CTTTTTTTTTTTTTTTTTTTTCAGGCAGAATGCAGGCTCTCTATCCAGTTTCAATGATCTGTTCTTCATCATGTTATCTTTAATTTAGTTCTCCAGAAGTGTGCGCTGAACTAAAAAGTGAAAAACTCAAGATTAGTACACTAAGTTAATACACATTGCAAGTTATGTCTTACTATGTAAAAGTATATGTGGACACCAGACTTTTTCAGTAGGCGTTTGAAACTGTAGGATAAATTCAGGTAAGCAGAGGCTTGATTCTGCGAAGCCAGTACTATCCATACCAAGGGATATTACATCCCAGATTTCTCACTCAAAACAATACATCCTACTACATCCATGTAGCTATCTACACTTGCAGTATAAACCAACATGCAGTTCCCGACTTGCAGTTTTGCAGATGCAGAATTGAAATGGAGTACAGTCTGCGTAACTGACATAAAAAGTAGGTTATTGAAACAAAGTGCTAGCCTAGGTTATCATTAAATTCAATTCTTTACTTTCTCTAAGCTCCTGTATTTCAAGGACTCCTCAAGGTAATAAACCAATCCATTCAAAGAATAAAACACTAGGGAAGAGTGGCCATGTTATCAGAACTGAAACAACTCCGTTTTAAGTTAGTCGTCATGGTAGTTACAAAAACTAGAAACAAAACAAAACAGCAGAAGTATTCTTCTCCATTATGCTAGATATCAATAAAGTGCATTTAATAGGATCCCCACCAAAAAGTTGATCTTCTATCTAGGTTCTTCTCTTACCAGGTGGCTCAGATTGTGCTCCCCGATGGCTTTCCATATTCACATTCTCTTCATCTGCTGGGAAACAGACAGACATTTAGCATTCAAATTTTCTTATCTTTGAAGCTGTTAATAGAGATAATTTGAGAGAAGAAACAGCACTGAAGAAACTGGGCTACTGAAAGTAGTTGAGCTGCCCGTGTTGCCTGCATGTTAATTTTAACATGCATGATAGATGTTACTCAGTTTCCAAACTTCCCAAATTACAAAACAGCAGTGCCAGGCTGGATGGCTGCTCTACTATGTCTCTCCACCAACTAGTCATAAGGACTAGACAAAACCAAAGCTTCTGCCCCACCTGTCACCCACAGTACTCCCAAAGTTCTCTGTTCTGAGTTATATCTTATTTAGGTGGAAAGGAAGCAGATAGCAAGCAATAGATGACTGCAGAAGAAAGAATCATTTGGGGATGAACATCCAGGTAGTTGTCAGAAAACTAATATGTAGGCAAGCATCTTGTGACGGCACAAGGGCAAGATTTACAAAACTAGAAACAACAAAGTATTTTTCAGCATAAAAATTGTCTCTAATCCCCAACCTCCACTCAATTTTCCTTAAAGAAACGTTTTCTTGCAGTGTCTCCTGCTTAGTCTTTAGCAGGAAGTGCTTTTATTTTAAGAAATGCAAAGCCTTAAGTCTGCTTCTGAAAGTCTAAATTTTGGGCAAGGCACTCATTGGACATTCTGTCTTAGATGACTAGTAAGAGCAATTACTCCTTGTGAACACAAATTCACTATGCTACTAAAACTATCTTATGCATAAGATCAATATCTAGCCCCTATATAAACCAAGACTAATTTAGAATTCTTACCGCTTTGTTTGAAACAGAGTTTCTTCTTCTGGTAAGCAATAAAACTAGATACTGCTCCAATTACAGTAGCAACCACAGCACTTACAATTCCAGCTACTGCTCCCTGAGAAGCTGGGGGGAGAGGAAAAAAAAACAGCTTGCGTACATTTTTCAGAATTAAAACTTGTATTGTCTCAAAGTAAACCCTGTGAACACTTCCAAAAACCAGTAATTTGAATTACATGAAACTGTAGTAATCAACTCTTTCATTGTGAATAATTAAAAGCGAATCCTCTAATTTTATAACCATTGATTTCTTAGCAATGTCTCTTGTTAAGCATGCATGTTTTAAGCTCCACTAATTAAAAAAGCTACTCTTTCATAGCCAAATCTAAGTTGTATGCACACAATCACTACACCAGCATCTCTGAGACATTCTAACACTTTTTAAAAGTTTGCAACATAGCATTTGTAAAGAATTATGGAAGGTTTATCTGGGTTTTTTTTGGCAGAGACAGAACATACTGCTTCTGAAATGGAAGGTATGATCTTAAGTTTCAGATACCAGAACCACAGGTGTTACACATTAGATCACATTAACCAGCTTGTGGGCAAGGTTTTACCAAAAGCTCGGATAGCCATAGGATCAATAGGAAGCACAACCTACTACCTTACCATTGCTGTCACTACCATCACCTCCTCCTTTTGGTAAACTGCTATCATATAGTTCTGAATCATCAAAGTTGCCTATAAAAAAATGAAAACAATATTATTTTACATGTTTTAAGTTCAGTGAAAAGACACCTCAAGGCACATAATGACACAGAAGTTTTCTCTAGATTGTTCAGCTGAGTTCATGGTGGTTTTAGGCTCAGCATCATAGTCACAACATATTCACATTTCAAAAGTCACCCCAATCTCAAGTCCCTTCAGCTCAGCACTATATAGTTTGATAGCAGCACTGCTTCCTCTGGACTTCATGAACAACTGAGAGAAGTCAGTGTCCAAGAGCAGGTAGTACTGCATAAGTCATAGGCTAAGCAAGCAAGAAGCCCTGTAAGCTACTTAAATGGAACAGCCCAAGTCTCACTATCCTGGTTAAAGCAGAGAAAGGACATGGACATGAAAGGACTATTTCTTTTCAAAGCTGAAGCTGTGAATGTTTCTTCAGAGTTGGGTTTCTAAGTCACAACCAGTCTTTTGAAACTGTACAACACAGTAGCTAGAGGAAAAACAAGAGTTCAGCATGCCACAGTCCAGTGCTGCAGTACATGCATGCCAACAGGAAGATAAAAATATAATTCTCTCCTCTGATTTATGGCAGGATACTGAACCAGTCCCTCTCCATTTCCATTGGACCCTACCTCATGGCACCTGAGTTCTCCTCCTTCCCTCTGCTGTCAAACTAATCTTTAGTTTATGCAATGCAAGTCTGTTTCAAGCAGCAAAACTAAATGCATTACATCAGAGGATGTTTTAGTTGGGAGGTAAAACCACTGTACTCAGGCACACAAGACCCAAATTCAAGTATCTGATGCAAAGCAGGCAGGAAAATGAAGAAGAACCAGGGTTTGCATTCCAGGTAAGGACTCTTTACCACCACATTAATGGATAATGACATCAGAGCTGCATCCCTCTGAATCTGTTTTGTTCTGAGTCAGGCAAAGACAGAGAAGACCTCTAAAGCACAACAGGCAGGGAAGGACATGTATTTTAAGCCTACCTTTCAAACACAAAAGAGTTGTATTTTTTTAAAAAGAAAAAACAAACATCAAAACCAAAAAACCCGCCAACCTTTAATTTTGAGCTTTACTTCTAATTTAGATGCTTTAAGAATACCGATCAAAAGTAGTTCCTACTTAGTTTTTAGCATGACTAGCAGGGATTCAGTTTGTAAAGATGAAAGAACTCAATCTAATACACAGCTGCTCCACCCCAGGCAGGCAAGAACAGCATTGCCCCAAGCACACACTCTGTCTCATCCTTCCTCCTCTCCATATCATTCCACTTTTAAATGAAAGTGACTCAGCAGGTTTGATATGGAATTTCAAGACTACTGCAAAGATTATTTGTAACACAATTTTTCCTCAGTGTTTATCCAGTGCAACATCTGACATACACAGCAGTCAGTGAACAAGGCGTAATTATTAGAAGTTTAACTGAGATCGTAAAACCATGTCACAACTCAGGACCTGGAGGACCTGGCTTGGGGTTATATACACACAAAAGCGATACAGGAAAAAAAAAAAAGCTAAGATATAAGAAGCAGACTACGATACAGCAACATTGAAAGGGACTAGGAAAGATCAACAAATACTTTTCTACTGTTCAGAAATTCCTGTTAGGTCAGTCTTACCAGTGTCTTTAGGATTTGTTGGCGGACCTGGCTTGCGGTCATCTGTAGACAAACAGAGTTAGAATAAAGTGAGCAAAGTTACTAGTGTGAAGAGACCAAAAGCAGAATGACCTTGAAAGACTATACAGCCTAAAAATTGGTATCAAATCTTCCCCATGTCATTTTCCTTTCCTTTCATTAGCTAACGCTGTATTTGCTTGGTTACTTTAGGTAAAACACTGTATTTTAATACAATTAACAGTGTTTCTGCTACATCAGCCTGTACTCTTGCTATAACTGAACATATATGGAAGAACTCACTAAGTGTTATGGAGCATTTTAGTTTGCACATCTGATTTCAAATGCTGAACTTCTTTACATTTTTCTACCAGGCACAGATTACTTGGCTGTTTCTGCTTTTAAGACTACCAGATTGTAACCAATAATAAAGGTTGGTAATTCACTTTAGAAAAAAAAATAATAAAAAGGACAAGATAACATCAAATTCACACACCAGCAGTGGTTTTCTAAAACTGTTTTCACCAACAGCTCAACCAATCCAGCAGCCCATTTCTTATGTATGCTACTTCTTGATGTTGCCTTGCCTCATCCCAGATCTAGTACAACTCAGATCAGGTCATCTCAGGCTCTCTGCATACTCAGAGACAGGCACCTTCGGAGTACAGTTCTAAAACCCCAATTTAGGCTTGTCATCCTATAAAGGTTCCTCTCTCTTCACCTACCTGAACCATCCAATTCAGTCAGCTGTTTCTCAATTAGCCAGCTGTTCTCAAAATGGCCAGCAGCTGGAAACAGACTGCTTTAAGAGAGACAAAACTTCAGAGGACTAAATCAAATAGAGCAGCAAACAGTGCTACTGTCCTACAGCTGTATGCCATGTGTTAGGAAAGCTGTCTGTACTGCAACAGGTCTAGTGATAGCTATGGTGCATTATCTGCCTAAGTGGATGCATTTTTTACTGGCTGAGTGAAAACAATACTGCAATTTCTACTGCTGCCCACACTGCATAAGCACGTTAGAAATGGAACCTTCCTTCATATTATTTCAAACAGATTAATGTTTCCTTGTGCTACTAAAGCTAGTTCTTGGATAGAAAGAGATTACTTCAGATTTAAAAACTACTTCCATAAGTAATAGTTTATGGAATTAGTGCCATCTAGTGAAGACATATGAAACAAGTAGGACTTGGTTAAGAAATGAGTGAAATACATACAGCTTTTGTGATGCAGACCCTTAAAAATGAAGGTAAATAAACATACCTAGACTGCAATGATTTTTATCTGCAGTCTCTTACCTTAATCAACTCAGTGCCCTTACTACATTTAGGTAATAAAGGATAGATAGACATTGCATGAAGTACCACTGAGCAGTATCTAGGAAAACATGATACACAAAATGCACCCCATAATGTTTTCACCAAGAATATAATGGCATGGTCACAGAAGAGCACCACAGAGTTACCAGGCATTATCTGTCAAACTACAGCACTACGTGCTGCTTTTGGAGATCATGGTACATGCCAAGGGCCAGATTGAGGTGAGCATACTCAAAATACACAGACTGAAAGCCAACAGAAGGATTCTCAAAGGGTTTTTAAGCTTGTGAAATCACAAAGTAAATTTGTGAAAGCACTATCAGAAGACTCCAAAATGCAGAAATCCTTTTGCTACTAGGGAACTGCTTTATTTTATGGAAATATCACAGCTCTTTAAATTGAAAAACTGAAAAATTCAGGCTCTTGAATTACTATGTACAACTACACTTGACTTCACAGTAAAAGACATTACAAGCCAATTAGATCTCACCAAAATCTGATGGTGGTGGCTTCTGAGATGGAAGAGGCTTCTTCGTAGTTCCTGTCAGGGATGGTTAGAAAAAGAAGTTTAAGTACTATTTAATACACTGTTCAGAAGATACATGAAGGACAACAGTAAGCCTATGTCTATACAGTGAAAAGCACAAGATCAAGTCTATACAGCAAGACACTTTCCCCTTTAGAGGAATCCCTGAGTGTTCCCAAAGACAAATTTCAGTTCCTCCAGCCAACATTTTGACATACCCATAGCTGAATTGTTCCACTGAAGTTTAAACAAACTATATGTGGGGAAGGAATCATACTTGGTCATGCAGTGAATACTCAGAAGCAAACAAGTCAAAAGAGCAGCCACTGTATTCCCACCTACCTCCCAAAATTGCAAGAGTGTAATAATTACCTAATGCATCTTCTAAGCTGAAGTCATCAAAATTGCCTGTAAAAGATGAAAGCAACAGTAGAGAACACTGTTTTTTCTTACTCAAAACCAACACTTATTACAGTCATAAACATGTCTTTGATCTATCCTGAAGTATATTTTTTGCTTCCTGCATCAGAGTAGAAGAGCATTTTGAGTCAGGGCTGAAGACAGACATTATTCTCTATTTCTCCAGACCACTGTCCACACATCTCTTTAGAAAACAAAGGAACAGCACTAAAAATTTTCTCTATAGAAAGGATCCAAGGGCCAGAACATATATTCCTACAGTCAGTATAATGCACTTAGCACTTTATTCTTGCCACTGCTATTGCATGGTTTTTTAGTGCCATCCACAGCATATTCTTTCCCAGCCTTCTTCCCACTGAACCACAAAATGACCAGGGGCACAGCTGCAATTCACAGGAATTTACAAGATTCAAGTGCGAAGAACAACCTTGGAACACAAAGACCAGTATAAAAGTTATATGGTTGGGTAATGGATTTAATACCTTGGCATTAAAAATTAGTTTCCATGGGTTTATAAGACTTATCTTTTCCCCCAACAAAGGTTAACAGTATGAAGGTGGTTAAATTATTAGCACAGATGATCTCGAGCAGTTTCTTCAACTTCCTAAAAGACAGCTAAACACAGCTGTCACGCTATGGGCTCTCCACTCCAGGTTTCATTTTCAGCCCTTAGGAAAAGAACATTCTCTCTTGCTGTATTAGGTCAGTTGCTAGAGCTACTACTGCTTACCCAGCCAACTGCAAACACACTAACTCAAGATATTCATGATACAAACTAGTTTCACAGCATGAATACAGTAGTGTGATCTCAGCAGCAGAAATCTGTAAGAGAAATGGACAGCTAAAACAACTGCTTGGGATATTTTTTTATAGTTCATCATTCCTACTTCCACTGAAGCATGGAAAAAGAAAAAAAGCATGAAAGTAGATACCAGCTATTCAACAAAAAGACATCCAGATATACTGCTCCAGCCCCAAAGAAGCTGGAAGACTTTTTCTACCTACTGAGTATTAAGTCAGCCAGAGATACCTTAATTCAGAAGATAAACACATAAAGCATTGATGTGTCTGGCTTTTTCTCTAAGAATGTCGCTACAGAAGAGGAATCAGAATAGGCCATTGCCAGTTCTGAAGAGAGGAATAAAAAACAAACATCAAAAATCAACATGACAGACCAAATTAAGACAAGGACAAGCCAAGAATACCAGGAATGGCAGATGCTCATACACTTGGTGACATCTTTCAATCTCAACTGAGCTTAAAACTGAAATCTCTTTTGCTTCTCAGAGAACTGCACTAATATGCCTTTTTTTTTTATTGTGGAAAAAATGCAACTAAGATACATTTTAATTTTTTTTCATATGGAAGCAAGGAATGACAACCGGAATAAAAAAAATAATAATCAAAGGCATGCTTGGAGTTCCCTGAAACACCCTACAAGCTAGTCTTCAGTTTGGCCAACTGAACTGCTACAGGAGAAACTGAAATCTGAAGTCTAAGCAGTGATACCCATATCTTACATATGAACTGAGTCCACCTTGCTCACAAGCAAGTCGGGAGGTAGCACTGCCTGGTCTGACAAGCCCTTTCATGGAAAAAGAGGCAATTCATGGCTTCATTGTGGTATGTGAATGATGTGCCTTTAGAATGGGCTGGATACAATAGTTAGGTATAGAATCTGGATAGAAAGCACAAAGATATTTCACTTAGTGTTCTTCACTACAGGTGGAAGCCATAAGCTCTTTTATAATACTTAGCTCATGAAAAACTGTTTCACAGAATGCAAAATATTTGCAGGTTGTTTATCTGAAGCTTACATCATCTTGCAATACAATCTTAAAAATCTCAGTAAAATGAGCAGTTGCCAAGACCCAAATCTCAGTTACTTCTGAAGTGACCCCTTTGTTTAGACTGCACCAAGAAACCTCCATGTTAACAGGCAAAAAAGGTCAAAACACTCAAGAGAAATTTAAACACATATTTGCATAGTTGTTTCACAAACTTGAATTCTGGTTGGTTTGTTTATTCAAGTACATACATCTCTCAGGCTACAGTCCTCCAGGGAGGAATGCCTTTGACAGGACCTCATCAGGTGTTTGCCAGTCTAACACTTAAGAAGGCAGGCAAAAGGACCTGTTGAAGATGCATGTTCCACAAAACACCCCGCCACAGCAGCAACCAGAGGATGGACCACCACCATCTGTTAACACCATCTGTCTAAAGGTTAAAGATATATCACCAAGTCAACGAATGTTACATTGATGGGTATATTTCAAGAGCACTATTTCTTTTTAGGAGTGGCAGAGGGAAAAACAAGCACATATACTCAGTATTATGCTTTGGTACAGCTGAAGTTTTACCTGGAGCAGAAAAGACTGAAGAGTCTCCCACTGCCACCACGAAACTTAAGTCTGAGGACTCTGAATGGTTCCAGCTGCAGTTATTTTCCCTCAAGAGGAGGAAACCAGTGTAAAAGAGTGTGAGTTCAGTAACACTACTGTTTTAAGGGATTTTCACACATGATCTTCATGAAGAAATTGTTTAGGGTGAGACTGCTGACTGCCAATCTCACATAAGACACGCTTTGAGAGAGCAATAAACAAATTTGAGGGTTAAAGAAAAAAATCATTCTACATTGACGAATTATTCAATACTCTGCAACAACAATTCTGTTTTCCAAGCATGCAGCAAAATGTCAGGTTCTTCAAACACAGTACTTTATCACAATGAAGTAGGAGAAAATGTCAAAACCTAGCTTATGAAACTCATTACAATGCGCTCTGAAGTGCTGGCAGCCTGCTTTCCCAGCAAAGACTGGGTGTTTCTCCACTCTTCATGACAAACTTTCATGTGTCTTTAATGCACTTGCTTTTACTCACTTGGCTTTTAGTATGGGTGGGTCCAACTAGAGTTCAATTACTTAGCCTGAAAGGAGAGAGGCTCAGTACCAGGGATTCAGCTGGTTCCAGGGAAGAAACAATCAGACAATGGAGATAAAGCTACAGACCTAGAATAAAGGTAGTAGCAGGATCTAAGAAGGATAAGTCAGCAAGAATATGCTGTAGTCCCTACAGGAGCACCCAGAGTAACTGAGCTTATGAGAATTTTCATAGCGTAAGCAAAGATAACTGCAAATAAAGCAGGTATTATATTATGTACAAACCACAATACAACAGGTATTTCTACCTCCTAGGGGCATGAGCAAATTCAAGAACGTTTCAGAAGTGTCTGCACTATTTTCCTTCCATGTTTGTAGCTCAAATATCAGGATCTCAAGAGACAGATCTTCAGCAGGCAGTCCCCAGTAATTTGCATAGTTTTGTCAGATGGGGGAAAAACACCAGGTAAAACAAAGAACAAACATGAAAAGCTGATGAGCTAGAGGGTATTCAAGAGAGCCAAGTAACTACGCAACTAGGAGTCCTTTGCAAAGGCCCGTCACCACTCTCAGATACTTACTGCTGCGGTATTAGATTAGTCATATTTACATTCCACTGCAGAAGGCAATACGAGCTTTGGAAAGTTCCCCCATTAGTCACGTGTATGGCAACGCACCAAGAAAGGAGGCTTGCGATGAATCACCACAAACATTCTGACTTGAGCAACAGACTGCTTGAATTTTGTTTTTCTAAAAATCCCTCCCCAGTACCCTGCGCACCACGAGGTGCCACAGAGCCTGCATACTTCAGCTGGTCTTCCAGTTGTAAACCTACGGACCAGGTGACAGTGGTCAGCTTGGCCCCATCCCATTTATGGATGTTACTTGCCATTCTGTCAGTGGCCAACAAACATGAAATCATAGAAAAATACAGTATCTTCAGTTGGAAAGAACCCATAAGGATCATTAAGCCCAACTCCCTACTCCTTACAGGACTACCTAAAACTAAACCCTATGACTAAAAGTGTCCAGATTCTCCTTGAACTCTGACAGGCTTGGTGCCATGACCACTTCCCTGGGGAGCCTGTTCCAGTGACTAACCACCCTTTCAGTGAAGACCATTTTCCTATTATTGAGCCTGATCTTCCCCTGACACAGCTTCATTCCATCTCCTTGTGTCCTATCACTGGTCATCAGAAAGAGGAGATCTGCACGTCCCCCTCTGCTGCCCCTCTTGAGGAAGCTGTAGACTGTGGTGAGGTCACCCCTCAGCCTTCTCTTCTCCAAGCTGAACAAACCAAGTGAACTCACCTCTCCTTGTAAGTCTTGCCCTCAAGGCCTTTCATCATCTTGTTCACTCTCCTCTGGATACCCTCTAGTAGTTTCATCATAGAATCATTGAAGGTGGAAAAGACCTTTAAGATCACTGAGTCCAACCATCTGATGTCCTTATACTGAAGTGCCCAAAACTGCACACAGTCCTCAAGGTGGGGCCTCACCAGTGCAGTGTAGGGTAGAACAATCACCACCCTCGATGGGATAGCTATGCTGTGCTTGATGCACCCCAGGACATGGTTGGCCTGTTTGGCTGCTAGGGCCTACTGTCGACTCATTCTCAACTTGTCATCAACCCACATCCCCACATCTCTTTCTGCAGGGCTGATCTCCAGCCTCTTGTCACCCAATTTGTACACAAAACCAGGATTATTCCAACCCCAGTACGGAACCCAGCACTTGCTCTTGTTAAATTTCATACAGTTGGCAATTGCCCAACTTGGGTCTGTCCTGCTGCCTAACCGCTCATTTACATGAAATGTGCAAAAATCTTGAGCTCAAAGAGGCCTCTCATCTCTGTAGAGTTTACACAAGGTTTGGCAGCCCTCTTGCAGGATGAGAATGCTGGTAACCACAAGGGCATAAACTCTCAGGCAAGTAGTTGAAAAGCAGCTTCTCCAACTTCCAGCAAGGAAACTGGATTCTATATTCCTGCGTCTTGTGCTCCTTCCTTCTGGGGGACTGAAAACACAAGGGGTAGAAATATTCAACACCTAATCGTAACAGAAGGTACAGAAAATACAGGAAGGCCAACACACTGAAACTTATTCATGAAACTTCACATAACAGCAAAGCCATCACATCCCTTACAACTGCTTTTTGAGCTTACCAGCACTTGATTTCAATCCAGGTTTTGCCCCACCAGCATTAGTTATCTACAATAGAAGACTTCTACTGCTCAGCTCACGTTCTGACAGTTACTTTCTAACATGTCCTAAACAGGCAAAACCAAGAGTAGCACTTTCATCACAAAAAAACTTGGGAGAAAGATGACTTGGCTCTCCACACCTTATTGTAAGAACCGCCTTTCTAAGGTTTTAAATGGAGAGCCCGAAACATGAAAACCACTCACTGCAAGTGGAAGAATGTACTTAAAACTGTACTCCTCCTCTCAGCCACGGCAGAGGTTTGCAGGCAAGCTCCCTCTGAGTCAGGCAGTGCAGATGGGATGTTTACTCCCACTGCCAAGCAGCGGTTTATAATTAGCCCTGCCTGGAGTCTCATGAAATTAAATGCCACACAGTTGGTTCCTCCTCCAAGTACCCACCTATTGATGTTGCTTTTCAAGTTTAGTTTCTCTACAGAATGAGAGAAAACAAAAAGCTTTGCATAAAGTTCTGTTTAGAAGAATAAAGCCCCTTCCTACCTAAAATAAATAGGGCTCAAACACAAATAACAACTGTAAAATCAGCCAAAAAACAAAGGTAATATTTTACATCTGGGGAGTGTCTGCTTTCTGCATATCTGGAGTATTCACTAACGCATCTGATGGGAATAAAGTCAGCTAAGCCTCTGCTGCAACCAATAAAAAGATTTATTTCCACTTCAAAAAGATGCATGACTATCCTAATAACTATCATATTTAATTTTTGTACAGTGAGTCAAGTGCTACTTCCTTGAAAAGTTACTTTATTTGCACCAATCTTGAAAATACAGGACAGGAAAAGTTAGGCAATTATGTGGTTTTATCTTTTTCTGATCTGACTGCTAGAAAACAGTTTTTAGACTAATCTGTGATGTTAATATTTAAATTACTAACAACTCCTTTCACACAAAAATGGCAATTTAGTATTTTAGAAAAGCCAACAAGGTCACATTTTGACTTAAAACTATTCGCTTAAATAACTGTAGTCATGGGAGGGTTTTTTAACAGAACATGGTAAAATAAGCCATTTAGTGGGGAAGAAAAACCCGTATTTTGAAATACAGTTTGGAGGAATTTGCTTGTCAAAGTTTCCCATGCACTGGGCAACTTTTGTTGACCCTTTCAACCGTAGAAAGTAGAAAAATACAATGGGGCTCTAAACATTAGCTATAAGCAGAGTTTTCCGGGGAGGATTTGATACAGGAATAAGAGGACAGAATGAATAGCTCTAAATCAGCAGAAAGCATACAGAAGAACCAGGTCAACCACAAAGCTAGAGAATTAACATGATGGCAACAGTCCTGCCAAATGCCGAGCTGCTTATCCAGAAACAAGAAAGGGTAAAAGACAACTACACAATAGTTACAAAAGGTCTAAGAACTCCCGTGAGTCCCTTCAATCAAGTAGTGAAAATAAAAGCAAATATCTGGCATCTTAATCACAACTTGCTCAGTGATGGGTTGTCTGCCACAGTCTGGTTGTGTTCCTACAGTTTGTAATTCTGCATGTCCGTAACTGATGTGACCACCTTTCCTCCTAGCAATGGTTTGGATGTGTGGTGATTCTCTTCTGGTTACAACCCTCAGCGTCAAACCAACACCAAACATCTAATGGCAAAGCCACAGGTCCCAGACTTCCTCCTTAAGCTTAGAAGAGCTTTCAAAGCACTGTCACTAAGAGCAGCTTGGAAGGAGGTAAAGTATTTTCCATGCTTCATGGAAAGTTGATTCTTGCAGAGAGTACCTTTCCACATACTTAAAATTTTCAAAACCTGGCTGACCACAGTCCTGGGCAACCTGCAGCGGCTGACCCTGCTGGAGCATGGGGTGGGACTGGAAGGTCTCCAAAGGTGCCCTCCAGACTCAGCACCCTGTGGTTCTGTGACTTGGGCCAACTGTAGTCACTGGACCAAACTCCTTGTGCTACAAAACTCATGTAACTACAAACAAAATAAATCCCCCTGTCCCTCTGCAATTGTTTTTACAGATGAGAACTGAAATACATTGCTCTGTCTCATGAAGTTTGTAAGTGGAAACCTAAGCTATGCAAACAAAAGCTGTTAGAACAGAAGCATGGCACTTGCATCAAGAAATGACAAGATTAAATTTGGGGGACACTGGGATAGGAAGTGGGGAAGACAGGAAAAGTGTTTTGCAAAATATAATAAAGATGCTGAATCCAGATGGCAACAGACAAAGAGATAAAGCACATATTTATTTGACTTCGGCTCATTTCTTCTTATCTGTAACTTCAGGAGGGCCTGACCATGCTTCAAGTCTGCAAATGTCATATGCTGTGCTTATTGTTATTTCACCTAAATACTTGGCCTTACTCAGCATAAATGCTTTGTTAAAATTAGTGTTTTAATAAAGTATTTTCTAGAAAGCAAATACTAAGTTTCTTTTCGTGTAAAGTCAGGGACTATGGCAAAATACGACTGGCAGACAGAAGCACAGTCTTGTCTGCATTCATGTACAGCACAACCTTGAGGAAAGTTGCAGGTGTTTGATTAAATACTGCCTAGCCTCACGTTGTTTAAAGCCTGCATGTTGGTCCTTGTACCTGCATGTGCTAGGCACACTGAAATGTTCAATATTCTAGGTAACTGGTATTGAGTTCTTGATACTCTTCCTCGTAGCAGCCCTAAACCACAGAGACGTCACTCTGTGCATTAAGCATGAAGTTACTCGATGTCAGCAATTCCATCCCTGGGGCCACTGCTGTCCTTGCCTTCTCTGACATCAACAGACCACCTGAAGAAGACAGCCCTTTCCTCCTGCCCTCAGGGAAGGCAAGGAGTACCCCCTTCCCAGGTCTCAGGTGCTGGTGCTATCACTGCTCCCCCAGGGAGGCTCATGGAGCAGGTACAACAAGCCAAGACAGCTCTGCTCTCCACCACTGCCCTTTCAGAAACCTAGTAGCTCTGAAGCATTCTTAGGAGACCCTGTTCTCAACCCTCACCAAGATCAAGCAGGCACTGTGTACCTACTTTGCACTGAGTCACTTCTGAAATTCTGTCGGCATAAGAAATGTCAGTAGTTAATTTTTTATAAGCCTAAGAAAGCAAAATCCTTTAAGTACATGTTGCTCACAGTCTACAGCTTCAAAGTTTAAGCTGCTCGATAGACAGGACTTTAAGCTTTCATGAAGCTGATGAGCCTTGCAGCTACAACTCACATAACCTAAATTTCCATAACCACGTGCATTCTTACCCCAAGGTTATTTACTTTCGTTAGAAAAGTTCCCTACCCTCACTATTGTATCAATCAGTCCATAGTATGAAAGTGTATTAACTTTGCTAATATATAATAGTTCACATTATACATTGCAATGGAATGAGGTAGTGGACTTGTACTGGACACTTTGGTATTATACATGCTTAAGCAAAAGAAACCAAAGGACAGCGTGGCCCTGTAAATAAGGCCTCTATTTCTTGGAAGCTTATAGCTTTTCATAGGGAAGATATGCCTGGACAACCAGGATACTGCCAGCATGCTAGCCCCTCTAACACCTCTTTGAAACCACCCAGCATCAGCTGGCATCATAGATAAGTAACTGTAGCGAGACTGACTCCAAGGATGTCTGGATCAATAGACAAGCAGCAAGAACGCTGCAGAAATATACATCCTTTGAAAAGTTTTACTATGATTACTAATCAGTAGTGTGGTTGTTAGTGACTAGTCAAACCGTGTTGTACCTGAATGTTAGAAGGCTACAAGAAGCCTGTGTAAAAACACACTTGGGGTGCCCCAATTTGGCAAGGACACCTTAGGTGCGTGAATAAATCATCCTAGCCTCTCTCCTCAGTCCTCAAAGGACAATTGAAAATTTTTGTAACACTCTCCAAAGGTCAAAGTCAGTATGTCAGCACCTCTCCCTCTCCCAGAGTCAAAGAATCTTGTTACCTCTTGAGGATTTCAGCACTTATATCTAGTAACAGCTTTAGCAGTTCTTGGCAAGAACCTTTCCACAGTTGACTGACATCCATGAAACCCCTTGCTCTGAAGCATGTATTTCAAAACACTGTGTGTATCACAAGCAGTCAAGACTATGATTTTGAAACTGTGGAGCAACATACACACTGATGCTACTAAGATGGACACCAGAGGAGATGATGCGCAAGGGAAGGGATGCACATTCAAGGCCCTTTGAACACTCAGTGTTCTTGCCTTCATGAATAGATTCATG